GCAGCAGGTGAGACAGGAAAGGTCTGCTGCTCCATGTGGGTCAGCTCCAGACCTGGGGACCGAACTCACACTGCAGCAGCTGAGGCTGGCTTGCAGGGCTGTGCTTTAATCCGTTGCACCACCAGGAAGGGCCCAGAGGTTCTTCATGTTGCCTGTTCATTAGAATTGCAAAATTTACCTGAGGAAATTTTAAAATCTCCATGGCTCCAGAACCAATTAAATCAGTATGTAAAAAAATAAAGCCTCTCTAAATTAATTGCAATGTACACCAAAACAGAGAACCAGTTTTAGATTTTTTTTTTTCAAACATGCCCGGCTCTGGAATTAGTATCATTATTGTAAGTTTATTGGTTCTAAAACACTTCCCTTTGAAACCTATTAATGTCGCAGCATCTTAGAAATCAGATGGAGCTAAGGTTTGATAAACTACAAAAAACAGCCTCTCAGGCAGCCTTACGAGAAGGCAAGTTTGGGGGAACCCAGTCAGCTCCCTGGAACTCTAGAGAGGTGCGTCCCAACCTCCGATGTCCTTAGAATCACAGTGATTCTGCCAACATGCAGGTTCTAAATCAGAAAGTCTGGGCTAAGGCCTGACAGTCTGCATCTCTACCACACCTGCTTGCTGGGCCCTGCCTGACGTTCGGGTGACAAAGTTCTAAAGTGTCTCTTTTGGAGGAGGATTCAAACCAGCAAATCTCACTTCAGAAAAGTGAAATAAAGGCATCGAAAAGCACCACCAGTGAAGACTTCAGGGTGTCTGAGGAACCCCTATTTTGCTCCAGAAAGGAGCAGCTGGATTGGGGGTCTGGGCAAGCTGTCCCAGCCTGTGAGAGGGAGACTGGTTAGAGTCCTGTTTCCCAAGGAAGCAGTTTGTGAAGTGAGACAGAGGAATCCTGACCCCACGCCCTGTGCCCACCGAGGGAGGCACCCTGCCACGGGTTCGGACAGAAGCAGCCAGTCCTCTCCACCCATGCCCTTTTCTTTCTCCCTTCCCCAAACCTCTATTCAGGATCCACTAGTAAACCACAAGGTCTGAGGGATTTGAAAGTGAATCCGACCTAGTCCCTCACCTTCAGGAGGAGGAACCCATTGTCTGAAGGAAACAGATTTGTAAAACAAAGTACAATCTGGGCCCTCCCTGGTGGCACAGCACTGAGAAGCTAAAGCCACTTCAACCTGTGGTCAATCCCTGCCTGCCCCGGAGCTGACCCACATGGCGGGGCAGACCTCTCCTGACCCGCCCGCTGCTCCCCTCAGCAGTGTACTTCGTCGATCTGCCTGTTCTGCTCCCCACTCTGTCTCTGGTGAGTCCTCTCACAGTCCCTGCACTCTGGCCTGTACCCCAGCCTGTATGCACAAATAAATATTTAAAACAAAATAAAAAAAGTACAGTTGGAAGTGCCAGGTGCTAATAACAGAAGTAGTACAAAGAGATGAGAGAGCAACAATGCCAACAGCTTCCTGGAGCAGCGGTCCCTGGGGGAGGGAGGCAGCATTCCCAATCTTTCCAAGAAAGGGCGCCACCCCAAACAGCAAGTCCTGGCCAGCCTGCTAAGATGGATGCGTGTGCTTCGGTGCCCTGAAGCCCTTGACACCAAGACCCTGTAGTCTGGAGTCTCATCCTGGGCAGAGCTTCCTACCTTTGTCTTCTAAGCTCTAGCTCTAAGACGCGAGTGAATCCAGGAAGGAAAGCTTTTAGGGTTTGACCCCTCAATAGGATGGGGCAGCCGTTATTCCAGGCCACTCCGTACCAGCATCCTCTCCCTCCTGTGTCAGAGGCCGGCAGGTCGCCCTCCTAGGAACAGGCATATTTGAGTCATTGCCTTTTGTCACACTGAGCTCTTAATTGGCTTGACCCACCGCGTAGCTAGGCAGAAAGCCTTCAATCCCCAGATCAGGCAGGTCTCCGGCTGGGGTGAGGCATGTGGGCCGAATCAGGCAGGGGCTGAGCACCTCTTCCCTCACCCCACCCCATCCAGACCAGCTTTTTAGGACTGAGAAGCTGATGCGTGGCTCCCGCTTATTTTCCCCTTGTGCTCCGTCTCATAGGCAGTAAGTCCTAGAGGAGAAGCGGAAAGGCTGGAGGAAGCAGCCCAGGAGGAAACCGCAGGAAGATGGGGAGTGGAGTCAGTGCTGAGGACAAAGAACTGGCCAAGAGGTCCAAGGAGCTGGAGAAGAAGCTGCAGGAGGATGCTGAGAAGGAAGCCAAGACCATCAAGCTGCTGTTGCTGGGTGAGCACGATGGGAAGATGAGCCAGGAGGAGAAGGCACTCACTGCTCCTTCCTGCTTATCCTGGGTGGTAGGTGGGTTCCAGCCCACCCCATGGCGGGGGAGGAGAGGCTGGGGGCGTCAGGGGTAGGGGGTGTCAGCGGAAGTCCTCTTTCCCCGCCCCCGTTTCAGGGGAGGGGATCAGGAGCTCCAGCCCTGGGTGCAGCCACCCCCAAGGACCTGCAGATTGCCAAAGCCACTGTGGAGTTGTTCGGCTCATCCTTGAGCCAGGCATAGTGCAAGGGCCAGGCCAGACCCACCACCTCCAGATCTAACCACACCTGAGACTGCTTTTGGCTTGGCAGTTACTGTGCAGCGTGGGCTTACTGACACTCCTGCCTCTGCAGTCAAGAGAAATGAGTCAAGGTCTCGGGACAGCGCCTTCCCACCACGCCATCCACGCACGTGGTACCAAGGGTCTGTCCACAAGCTCTCACCAAGTGTATCAGTTGCGTCTTGCTGTCAGTAAAGCTGTAGGGACCCTGGGTGGGGAGGAACAAAGTCTTTACCACAGTCTTTTGCAGGTTTTCTATTCAATAACTGCCTCTAACACCCCTAACAGACAGGAGGTTCATCACCTTGATGAGCAACTAAGACCAGCAATCTGTGCTGGGGGAAAAGCAAAGCATCTCGGTTGTAGTCACAATTTGACTGCGGATGTTACAGCACCCAGACAATAAAGAGCTTGGGACGCCAGGCTTTGACGTCTGCAGCTGGGGGTGTGCAGGAGAGCTAGAGTGGGCACGGTCCATTAGTAACTACTGGCTGGCTGGCAGGGAGCCCCCGGCTAAGGCCCCCCCTTCCCCCCAGCTGATCGGTGGCATGAAGACGTGCTAAAGGAGCATGACTGTAAGACGCTGAACCCCGGATTCCAAGGAGCCCAGGGTGGAGATGGCCACTGAGGGATCTTTTAAATTTAAGCAGCTTGCTTCACATTTAAGATAAGATGCTTAGAGGGAACAAGCAGAGGCTTACTGGGAGGGGTGAGAGGCCTCAGGGTAGTGTAGCTTGGGGAGAGGCTTGAAAGGTTACATGGGTTTTTAATAGTTGTGAATGATGATACTGGGGTTTGGGGTTTTTTTTTTTTTTTTAAAGATTTATTAATTTATGCATACAGAGGTGGGGTACAGGCCAGAGGTGCAGCGGCAGTGAGAGGATTCACCAGAGACAGAGTGGGGAGCAGAACAGGCAGACTGATGAAGTGCACTGCTGAGGGGAGCAGCGGGCGGTCAGGAGAGGTCTGCCACGCCATGTGGTCACCTCTGGGGCGGGGATCGAACTCCTCTGAAGTGCCTGTGGCCATCTTGCAGTGCTGCATATTGCCCAGCTGAGCCACCAGGGAGGGCTGATACTGGGATATTTTAATCAATAAGGAAGCAGCTAGATGATGAAGAAATAGTATCTCAATGAAGTGACCTAGCTTTCTGCAGTCCTGCCCCCACATCACTCTCTTGAGCAAAACTGGGGAGAGAAAGGTGTTAAAGGAATTCCCCTGAATATATCAGTGGTTCCCAAAGAGATTCCCCCACCCCGGGAACATCTGAAGCATCTGGAGACACTTTTGCTTGGAAATGGAAGAGCGGCGGCTAGTGGCCTCCAGTGAGACAAGGCCAGGAATGCTGCTCAACACAGCACAGCCCTGCCCAAGGCAAGAACTACCCGTCCAGCATGGCAACAGTGCAGAGAAACTTGCTTTAAAACCAGAAACCAGCCCCAGCTGAAGGCTAGCGAACTCAAGGGCACAGGTCACCCTAACAAAGCTCCCAGGCCAGCAGCACCCCGGACTTCTCACTCTCCTATGCGGAAGGAGTTCGATCCCCGCCCCAGAGGTGACCACATGGCTGGGCAGACCTCTCCTGACCGCCCGCTGCTCCCCTCAGCAGTGTACTTCGTCGATCTGCCTACTCTGCTCCCCGCTCTGTCTCTGGTGAATCCTCTCACCCCCCTGCGCCTCTGGCTTGTACCCCAGTTCTGTATGCACAAATAAATCTTAAAAAAAAAAGCCAAACCCCAGTATCATCGTTCACAACTGTTCTATTAACAACATGAGCTTTCCTCCCTGCAGGTGCAGGAGAGTCGGGGAAGAGCACCATCGTCAAGCAGATGAAGTGAGTATGAACAAAACCCCTCAGCGCTGAAGGGGGGTGAAGTCAGGGCCAGTGGAATCAGAGTGTGGGGGCCCGATTCCCAGTGCGCCTCATGCACGCGCCTCGCCCTTACTCCCCCGCAGGATCATTCATCAGGACGGCTACACGCCAGAAGAGTGCCTGGAGTACAAAGCTGTCATCTACGGGAACGTGCTGCAGTCCATCCTGGCCATCATCCGGGCCATGTCCACGCTGGGCATTGACTATGTGGAACCAAGCTGTGTCGTATGTGGTCCATAGAATGCAGTTCACGGGAACCACCTGACCAGTGGCCCATAAGCTAGGGGGAAAGATGGGTCAGACAAGCGCTGGCCCACTGAAATCCCACCTGCTGAGCTCAGATCTTTTTATTCAGTGCTAGCAAAGTGTGCAGCTCCTACCCACCCTTGTAACATTTACAAAGTCTCTCAGTCTCCTCTACTTTTTTTTTTGTTAAGATTTATTTATTTATGCATACAGAACTGGGATACAAGCCAGAGGTGGAGGGGCAGTGAGAGGATTCACCAGAGTGGGGAGAACAGGCGGATCGACGAAGTGCAGCAGGTGGGACAGCAGAGGTCTGCTGCACCATGCACCTCCGGGGCTGGGGATCGAACTAGCACTGAAGGGACCGCAGCTGGCTTGCAGTGCTGTGTCCTTACCTGTTGCACCTGTTGCCCTCCTCTATTTTTTTTTTTTTACCTTATTTCAGTATTTAGATGCCCACCTTGGGCTCATTGTCCTGGCCAGGTAAACCCCTAGCACCGGCACTGGCATTTCCCTAGACCTGGGTCCCAAGAACAAAGGTATGAGTTCCTTCCCTCTGGTCTACTTCATGGCAACCTGGTCTTTACGCCCGACTCCCTTCTGCAGAGGACACCCATTTTCTGCATTCCACTTTTGGCCCAAGGATGGAAGGTGAAAATACTACTTGAAACCTGAGCGACCTTCTAGGCATCCCAGGGCTGACATGTGGCCACTCTCTAAGCTCAGGCGCGTACTTGAAAACTGATCACTGTTTTCTTGGAATCTTTGCTAGAAGGTCTCCCCCGTGGGCTGTGGTGGTCCTGCTTTTCTTTAGTTGCTTCCTAGGAAGCCCCTGGAAAAGCATTGCTTCAGTCGAGTTGTCAGCCAGCTTTCTGCCTTCCAGAATGCGGGGCGACAGCTCGAGAGTCTGGCGGACTCCATTGAGGAGGGCACCATGCCTCCCGAGCTGGTGGAGGTCATCAAGAGGTTGTGGAAAGACAGTGGGGTACAAGTCTGCTTCGACAGGGCTGCAGAATACCAGCTCAATGACTCGGCCGCTTAGTAAGTCTCTGGCTGGGGAGGGCGCGTGAGGCATAAACAAACCTCCCTGGAGAACTCACACCCAGCCTCAAGGTTCAGGCACGGAAAGCTGGAGACCCAAGGGTGGATGAATTCAGTCTGTACATCTGGTTTTTAGACTTGAGCAGTGTTTTGTTAGGCTCTGAACTGAGTGCCTTTAAAAGGGTAGGACATCCGCCAAGCCCCCACCACCCTGGACTGCCTTAGACTGGCAGTATGTGGTTCTTGAGAACCCCCAGACCAGTGGCCCATAAGCTATGAGGGAAGATGGGTCAGGTGGCCATCCCACCTGAAAAAAAGTTGAGAGACTTTTGTAGTAAGCCCATTTATAGATAAAAAAGTAAGGATCAGAGAATTAACCAATCCACCACAGCCAGCAAAAATGAGCAGCTCTGATGAGCAGCCCTCAGCCCCAGGGCTAATTACGCGTATGTGGGGCCACCCCCCTCAGCTGGGAACACTGAGACGGCCCTGCAGCACTGGGCTCTCAGGCCTGACTCAAGGTGGCTCTGCCAGGGCTGAGCTTTCTAGCTGCTAATCCAGGTTCTCCTCAGGTCGCTAACCAGAAAGCAGTTTCCTCCACCCATTGCATCTTAAGTCAGGGCATCAGGGTAGGGATCACAGAGACTGTCAGGGAAAACCAAAGAAGCTGGTCAGGAGCTGGAGAGAACCTACGCTGTCAGGCTGGTTCCGAGAACTGGGGCACGAGTTCCCCCATGCTAGGTGTACCCCCCTTCTGCAGCTCAGGGGAAGCCATCATACTGTCCCGGAGCACTAAGTGTCTCCAGGCCATTAAGGTCCAGGCACTAAGTGTGTCAGGTGGCCATCCCATTGTATCTTCCAGGTTGAGAGGCTTTTCTAATGAGCCCATTTACAGATGAAAAGTGAGGCTCAGAGAGTTAACCAGCCCAAAGTCAGAGACAAATAGCAGAGGCTGGGTCTGAATCCAGGTCTATTTGACCACCAAGTTAACTACTGTTCACAATTTACCATGATGCCCCTTGTCTCCGGGCAAGTTATTTATGTCTCCATAATTTTTCCTTCATCTGTAAAATGGGAAATGAAACTAGAAGGCTTACTGAGGTTAAATGAGGATTCCCCATGAAAATGTCTGGCGTATAGTTGGAACTTGGTGTTCATTTTTTTCTTCTCAGTCATCTCACTCCACAACTCTGGCTTCTACCTTAAAACATTATGTTGATTATCAAATTTTACATAGAAAAATACCATGAATCACCCAGCTTCAACAGTTATCCACACACAGCCACTTTTCATTTTACATCTATCCCCCACTGGCTATTCATACAAACGTTTCATCCCAATGTTTGTGTTTTCTCTAAAAAATACTCTTAAATCACATCCCTAAACACAAATTCCTGAATGTTGTCAAGTTTTATCCAAGTCTGTGTTCATTTATATTCCCCCCCCCAGTTATCTCACTTTCTTCCCTCAATTTGACTCAAAGTCCTTACATGCATTGATTCAAACTTCCTTTAATCTATTTTTTAAGATTTTTATTTATTTATGCATACAAGAACTGGGGTGTAACCCACTGAAACCACCAAATTGCATTGCAGGGTCTAGAAAAAAAGCATATGGTCAGAAGTTCAAGAAAAAGCTAGCTGACTTAGGGGAATCCCTGCCTCAAACCAGCTTGTCCTTCAGCTCACTCTTCACTTCCTTTTGTAAGAACACATGAGGGCTTGAGGGAAAGAATTCTAGATTTAACAGTATGGTTTTTGGTACTGTTTCTCGTGCCAAATTAGTTCTATGACTAAGCTAAGACCCTTTACCTCTTGGTCTTGACTGGAAAATTCATTGTCCATTACTTTTCTCTAGCTACCTAAACCAATTAGACCGGATTACAGCCCCTGACTACCTCCCTAATGAGCAAGATGTGCTTCGATCCAGAGTCAAAACCACAGGCATCATCGAGACCAAGTTTTCTGTCAAAGACCTGAACTTCAGGTAAGCACATGGTTCTCTGAGACACCTCAGGTCCCCCAACAGGGCAAGAGTCCTACCTCTCTCCTTCCTTCCTCACTTTCCATCTCACTGCAACTGGCCCCAAAGTGGGCGCACCTCAGGGTGAACACCAGCTGTGTGTGGGTCATGATAAAGCCGGGTCTACCTATGAGCGTGGCTGCTTCTCCTCTAGGATGTTTGATGTGGGAGGGCAGAGATCAGAAAGAAAGAAGTGGATCCACTGCTTTGAGGGAGTCACCTGCATAATTTTCTGCGCAGCCCTCAGTGCTTATGATATGGTGCTGGTGGAAGATGACGAAGTGGTAAGTGACCAACAGTGCTGACAGAACAAGTCCTCCCCCTGGACCTTCCTCTTAGCTTTGCGTCCATCCACTGCCCCAATTTCGGTGATGTCAGCAAACACTGACCATCTAGCAGTCCTCTAGCAGACCCATGTCCCAGGCAAATAATTCTAGAAATACCAGTTCTGCTGGTTCTAGGTCAGCATGTCATCTTGGCCTCAGGTTAGATATCCAAGTATTACCTGACATCACAAAGCTCAAAAAGATCTACCATTAAAGGAACAAGGGATCATCAGCTTGGCAAAGCAATTGTGTTACATCAAAGATGTTATACTTTGGACCTTCCTCGGCTGCTGAGGGAAATAGAGGAGATAAGAAACAGAGCAGAGCCAACATGTGGTGTCTTTATGCAACATAACAAAGGGGCTGAACTACTGACCTCATTTGGAAGCTTAATATGCACCAATGCCAACAGGAGTAAGGAGAGGCAAACCAGGGTCCTACTTGCCACCCAAGTCGGCAGCTGGAGAACGACCTGGGGTTGGTTCTCTTGAGCCTGTAAAGCTCTACATGACAGGAACTCTGCAAGACAAGTGTCGGAGCCCAGCAAGCTGCCTTCTGAGGGGATGCCAAAGGCATGGAAAACAGTGACCGGGCACAGGCATCTGCTCCATAAATGGGCCCACAGCTCAGGATGCGAGACGAAGCACACAGCCTCCTATCCCTTGCTCCAGTTCTCCTCCTCTCCTGAGTCGTTTGAATCCAGTTGAACACTGCGTATCTTCTAGTGAAAATGTCTAGTGAAAAGGGCTACACATTTTCCAAGATTTTGTCCATCTTTCATCCTGAGGTCACTGAGGTCAGAGCATTAACAACCTGCACTGCTACACTGACTTGTTTTCTCTCCCTGTTGGATGGAAAGGCTGGGTCAGTCAGATAATTGTGTCTCTGAGTCTGCTCCCTAAAAACAGGCTGGGCCACTGGGTGACCTCTGGACTCTGCATATATACAGCACCACTTCTCACTTGCTCAGTGGCAATCAGTGAAGGAAACAAAGGCAGCAGAAATGCTTGTGGCAGGAAATACTCTAGCTCTTTCCCTGTGACACCAAGGCCAAAGAATGCCTGTTATGTTTCCGCCCAAACAGATCCCAGACTCTCTTTACAGCAGCTTATTAAAGCCATCAGGGAGACACAGATGGGCACATGCCCACGTGGCCTGGTTGAGCAGCAGTACTTACAGATGGCAAAGTCCTAGTGGTGTGCTGCCTGCTGAAGACCCTCCTAACATTGATCACAAACCCATAGGCCAGCCACCATGACGGACACTATACATACACCATCATGGACACTATACATACACCATGACAGACACTATACATACACCATCATGGACACTATACATACACCATGACAGATACTATACATACACCATCATGGACACTATACATACACCATCAGGTAAGTACGTGGTTCTCCGGGACACCTCAGGGGATCTGAGATGCAGAAAAGCTCAGCCTCTCTCCCACGTCACACAGCTATGATAGGTAGAGGTTTAGAAGGAAGCCAGATTGCTTTGCTTATTTCACACTAGAAAAAGAGAAGCTGCTCCAGGCTTTCCCTTTACAGGCGAAGCACTGGCCTCTGCAAGGCGAACGAGTACAGGAAGCAGACACATGCTCTGCCAATCTGATATTTCTGCTGATGTTTCCGCTATTAGAATCGCATGCATGAATCACTGCACCTGTTCAACAGCATATGTAACCACAAGTTCTTTGCGGCTACATCCATTGTCCTCTTTCTCAACAAGAAGGACCTCTTTGGGGAAAAAGTCAAGAAAGTTCATCTCAGCATCTGTTTTCCAGAATATGATGGTAAGTGCCAAGGGCTGGAGACAATGGTGATGTGTGCTTAGTCATGACTGGTGGCTGCTTTGTTTCCTCTACGGTGGAGACATAAAAGAACTTGTCTTCAGGGAGAAAACTGGGCATCCAGCTATGGGTTTGCACTGACTCTGGGACAGAGCATGTCCAAGGGCAAGACGAAGACACTCTCTACTCAGTGTCTTCACTCAAGTGACAAAACTAGTGTGCAACAGGAGAGCCCCCCCCCCCAAACGGGTCCCCAAATGCAGTTCAATAACATTTCACGATGTTACCTAAAAAGTAGATATGCAACTAAGGAAAACTAACTTATCTCACCTCTTCACTGTTTTTCTGGAAAACCAGGTAACAACTCTTATGAGGACGCAGGGAATTACATCAAGAGTCAGTTTCTTGACCTCAACATGAGAAAAGATGTCAAAGAAATCTACAGTCACATGACCTGTGCCACCGACACACAGAATGTCAAATTTGTGTTTGATGCAGTGACAGATATCATCATCAAAGAAAACCTCAAGGACTGTGGGCTCTTCTAATGGTCACCATTTTTCATTCTACAGAGACTTGGATTTCGGTAATTTCAATGAGAAAAGTTATGGGTCGTTATGCCACATGACGGATGAATCCATTCTCCTTCTGGTGAATTCCAGTGTCCCCCACAGGTTCTTTTCAAAGAGGGACAGCTGGTGCGGGTTAAAGAGTGCCAGGCGAGGTGTCAGAAACTAAGGTTCCAGGACCGGTTCTGCAACTTCTGACAAAAACATGAACACTTCATTTCTGAGCCTCGTTCCTCACCTATAAAATGAAGGTAACTTCTCTACGACTTCCCAGGATTATTCTGATGACCACAAGCATAACGAGGGAAGGCCCATAAAGCTGTGTGACTAGTCCCAGAAAGAAATCCTATATAAAAACTGCCATTTATTGTATCTGCAACCCAGCTTTTAGATGGATTATTCTAAGCCAAACGACACATCTTCCAGAGTCTGTGAAAAATAAAAACAAAACTTCCATAAATCCACCACCCCCTTCTCATTAACAGACATCTGAGTCACGTGCTGAGATGTTAAGTTGGTTGGCTTCGGAGGTACAGCCAAGACAATCCTCTTTACTAAGCACCTACTACCCCTCTGCCCCCAAAGCTACAAAAAGACTGAGTTTCCCTTAACGCCACACATAACCATAGCTCAGCTACACAAGATAATTTCTGAGTAAACTGGGAGAACATCCACCTACTCCCACTTGCAGTATTAGTGGGTTACTGCTGCCACCGCTATATTACAGAATTGAGAACAAGTGGGCAATCCTGAAGTCCTCATTTCAACCGCTACATGTTTCAGCACAAAAAAAAGCAGCTGGTCTTGTTTTTAGGCACGAAAAATCTTATCATTTGGGTCCATGTGATGCCTGGCTGAAAACATTTCCCTAAGAGACCAAGTAAATTATTCCTCTGAACTCCTTTGAGAGGAAACGAAACTTGCATTTATCTTGACAGGAGGTGGTGAAGTCAAGTACAGATTTAGCATTTACAACTACCAGTGAGGAAAAGCTCTTGGCACCCAAAATTTAGTATGTACGAGAAAGTGTCAATTAAAATGAAAATCTGCTCCTTGCCAGAAACACACATTCACACTTAGGCTGCTACTAGCAATATTGATACTAGAGAGCCATATGAGCTTGAAATACACTGAAGGATAAATCTGCAGCTGTTAAAATTAGATGCAGTTAATAGTTTTTGATTCCCTGAAAAGCAACCAACTTGGATAAATATAAAGGAAATCACGGCCCTCCCGTGGCCCAACAGGTTAGGACGCAGCACTGCAAGCTAGCTGCAGCCTCTTCAGTGTGAGTTCGATCCCCAGTACCGGAGGTGACCCACACGGCAAGGCAGACCTCTCCTGACCCGCCCGCTGCTCCCCTCAGCAGTGTACTTCATCCATCTGCCTGTTCTGCTCCCCACTCT